CGACCGTTGCTCCCCAGGAGCTGGACTGGGCGGCGGTGGCGCGGCGCGCGGTGGCGGCCCCGTTCGTGCCGGCGCTGGCGCACGCCGCGGACACGTGCAACTTCGCCGACGAGTTCACGCGGATGCCGCCCACCGACTCGCCCGCGCAGGCTCCCAAGCACCACGACAAACTCTTCTTAGGTGACCGCTCGTCTTGTACTTACATAATGCGCAGTTACAAAGTCATGGCTCATTTATCTGAACGCAACGACATAAGTTGCCATTATTAGCCTTTTAATTGCCCCTCTATGGGACTCCTGATTATAGGTGTACATAAGTAGACGACCATTCTATCGGTATCGCAACAGAGTAACAAATTATATTTGACTCGAAACTTTTGTTTTTAGGGTACTCGTACGTCGCCCCTAGTATAGTGTTCTCCGAGAACATCATATCTGATCAGATCTGGATGCAAGCTACAGGACAGAAACACGACAAACTCAAAGGATGGGTTGCGAAGGTACGCTCGTTATATGTATGTATAAAATGAGTACAATCAAATTGTGTGAAAATATGTTAGTTATCATGAGATGTTGTCTGTTGGAGTAAATGTATTAAAAGGAGAAATCCTTAAAACTGAGTTCGAAGATGAATGGAAATAAGACTGAAGACTAATTAAGTATAATATTTTCCTTTTGAACCTTGTGTGTTGGTAGTAGAGATCAATATATTGCATAAAGGCGTTTTCTACAAATTTGTTCGCTAATTTCTTTTATTTACATTAAAAACAAAATACACATATCATTTATGCAGTTTGTTATGAAAAAATGTTTTTATTCATTGTTAATTATCTGTTCATTCTAAATTTAATCGAATTTTATTGACTCGTATATTATATAAACGATATCTTATCTTTATATTGTAAGGTAAAGATAGATAAAGATAAGACATAAACTTCCGTAAATTTGTATCCTCGAAACTTGAAAAGTACTCGAATAATTGATTTAATTTTTTTAGACTACGTAATATTTTTGCATGAGAGCTCTAATGTAGGTATTTTATATCCGTGATCTTTTTCCGCGAAGATATCAGACTTGACCACAGCGAAGCGTGATAGCGTATAGTTGTAATAAAACATTTTCATCATAACAGGCTAGGATGCTGTATAATTTGCCTAAAATACTAAATTTACAGAAACTATACACAGAAACCAAGTTTTTAGTGTGCAGGTGATACGGTAATTATGTGATTCTTTTAAAATAATAAAGATAGACAAATAATATTATGATGTATTATTTATTATAGGGGCCTAGTCGTCTCTGCCCGTCTTACTCGCCTCTGTAAGGAATTAACGTTAGTGATTTTTCTCTTCGCACAGGACTCGCCGTTCTTCCAGAAATATGCAGTGGATCTGAGCACACCGCTCCTCGGCGACGGATCGTACTCGGTCTGTCGCAAATGTATACACAGACAGACCGGCAAAGAGTACGCGGTCAAGGTACGTCTGTTGATCTTACAGCTGGAACGTTTAAAGATTTTATCGATTAGCCATTGGACTTTAATAGACATTTAAAAATATATTGTGTATGGAATCAGTTTATATAAATTTAATTCGTGTCTGTTATAGATTATATCGGCACAGAGGAAGGATGTGCGTCAAGAAATAGAACTGCTGAAGGCGTGTCAGGGATGTCCCTACATCATCACGTTGCACGAGGTTTTTCATGATTCCGTGAGTGCACATGGTTCAGTAGTGGTTTTACATTTTTTATCATGTTAGGAATGGGTAGGATGTAAATACATGAATTTCGGGTCGATCTAATCTGGGATATTATTCGTATAGGAGAGGGTTGTGTTATTATTAATGACTGAATTGTGAATTCGACAATTGCTCGTATATGAATTTGTGTTCGTCCTCCGAGATGTGATTATAATTCATTATAAAAACAATGAGATTCTTAAAACAGACTTTATAGCATGATTCGGTAGGGGACGGTCGTTTATTAGTATGGCCCGGGTTCGGGTGTTTGTGTTTTGAAAAAATCTACTCGAATCGCTCGCGGCAGCATCGCGGCAATCTCAAGATCGATTTTCAGTAGACGGTGACAACTTTGAACACCGTCGGAAATTATTGTCGGGAGTGTAGTTCGATGCGATCGATCGATTGTAATTAAGTTTGTTTATTTGTGCGCAGGCGTTCACGTACATAGTGACGGAACTGGCGCGCGGCGGCGAGCTGGCGGCGCGGCTGGCGGGCGCGGGGGCGGGGGCGGGGGCGAGTGGGGGCGCCGGTGGGGGCGGGGGCGGGGGCGGGGGCGGCGTGGGCGAGCGCGCGGCGCGGCGGCTGCTGGCGCAGCTGGCGGCGGCCGTGCGGCACATGCACGCGCGGGGCGTCGTGCACAGGGACATCAAGCCGGAGGTGAGGACTGGTTCTAATTCAGTTATATTATTGACAAATAGCGTTCCTATATTTCAATGACGTGCGTCGTGTGCAGAACATCCTGTTGAGCGGTAGCGGCGGGGGCGGGGGCGGGGGGCGGCTGGCGGAGGCGCGCGTGAAGGTGGTGGACTTCGGGTTCGCGCGCCGCGTGCCCGCCGCCGACCACCAGCGGATGATGACGCCCTGCTTCAGGTACACTACACGGTCTTGTTGATTCCAGAGTGACAGAGTATTAACTACGTTGAACTGACGCGTTTTATTTAACGCGTGTATTACGACGATACATATGGATTTGAAAGTTACAAGAATGAGATGGTTCCAATGAAATAGTGGCAAAGAGTAAAGTGTATCATATTTACTCTTTAATTCTTAAGTTTGACAGGGAAATTCAACTCGAAAAGATTTTTAAAGGTTTAACAAGGATGATCTGTTTTAAAAGTTTTTATTGTCAAGTTAGTTAATTATCAAATGAAAGAAAGATATATTATACATATATAAGAATATCAAACAAAATCGCAATTCTGTTTTTTCTAAAGTAGACGAGATTAAACGAAATGAAATGAAATGGTCTATACAAATTTGTACATAACCGAAATTACGACAAACGTCAAAACAAGCTACGAGACAATATAGTAATGTCAGGTCAATGTATCGACCCACCTGTAACGGGCGTGTATCGTTGTGTATGCAGCCTCCCGTACGCGGCCCCGGAGGTGGTGCGGCGCGCGCGCAGCCCCGCCGCGCCCGGGTACACGCCCGCCGTGGACCTGTGGAGCCTCGGCGTCGTCTTCGTGAGTATACGCCCCGCTCGCCCCTGGTTGCATCCCTGCTTTACCCGAACGTAACGCGTCCGTGTCCCCTTGCAGTACTGCATGCTGAGCGGCAAGGCCCCGTTCCAGCCGTCGTCGCGCAAGGAGCCGGTCACGGCGCTCATGGACCGGATCCGGACCGGCGCGTTCTCTATGGAAGGTGAGATATCGCACCCCTGATCAGACCGGGTTCGACGTTCATATATTCAACATAACATTAATCATGTAAAGAACTAATTGTAATTATAGAAGAATTTAAATTTGAACTGAAACCAAATATGACTCGTGCGGGACTAAATTTTTTTTTTATATATAATATTTTATAAAACTCCTGATTTAAAAAAAGACCTGCTTGAACCAAACCGATTCTTTTATTTCCATCGTCGAAACGTTCGACAAATTATAATAGTAGTTTATGCAATTGTCATATAAGAAGGGCTATTAATTAAACACTAGAGTCTGTTTGTGGTAATAGGTGGACTCGAATGTTTTAATACCTAAGTTATATGCAGTTTCATACACTACTTTATCTTCACTCATAGGAACATTAAAATTAAACAAAGTAAATAGGTTACAAGGAAGTAATATTTTGGAATCCCGAATACATAAACACGATCGGCAAAAAAATTCATGAGTGAGCGCGGGAAATTAAGTTCAAACTGCGCATGCGTGCGCCATTTTTTCATATTCAGCCTAAAACCATAGACTAGTTTAATGAATAAAAAAAGATAGTGGTACTATAATGAGTTTTATTCTTAATTTTATGTATATGCGTTTATAAAGTGCGTACGTATAGAATCGTCTTTGAATTCGTAATTCGAATTTTTCGATTTGTGGGTAATATAAAAATAATTTCTTTAAAAGTGCTACATCGATCGTGAGTAACGCGGCGTGTTGTTTTTTATTTCCCCTATAAATAAGAAATATGTGACGCGTAGATTCTTTAAATTATACTATTACGATTCGTCGATTTACAAAGTGATTTGTGAGGAAGGTTTATATGTATAATACGGGGTTACGCGGACGAAGTCGTCGGCGGAAAGCTAGCTAATTATGAGATGTCAGTCGGGCGACATATATCATACGTGTATATATCATAAAATTGATTATTTTGTGATTCGGCCGACCATTTTTGTAATGGTTCTATTTCATGAAACGGCTATTCGCTAATCATATCGTTTGAGCGTCAACGTTTACCGATATATGATTTATATAAATGTAGGATGTCCAGATAAATTGCTGATATAGCTTATTATAAATGAGCGATATAATTATTGTAGTCTGAAAATTAAAATAATCTCGAAATTTCTCATAGCATAACGTTAGTGATCGTCTTAAATTTCTAACCTCTTATGTGAAATTTAGTTCAATTCGTATGTCGAAAACTTTTATATCTTCCAATATATTTTTTACTAGATAGGATCGAAATTCCGTCTTTATCATAATCTTGCGACGTTTCCATAAAACTACAGAATAGATTTTGCCGCTGCACTTTCGTCAAATACATCTACAATTATCTCTCTGAATCTAATCGAGTAATTGTCGGTTATCCTCTTTTTTAAATCGTCGTATAACCGCCCCGAGGCGCGTCGTCGAACGCGAATCATTCATCGGCGCGGCGAGTTTTTTCCAATTCACGAAACGGCCGGTCGCATCACGAATCGGACGTACACGGAACGTCCACGTCCACACTCGTCTGCGGGCGTTCTTTTTCAAATATATATCGAAGAGTGGAGTGTGTAGTAACAGTATCATAACGCGGTCGCATGCGCAGGCGCCGCGTGGGAGCGCGTGTCGGCCGACAGCAAGCGGCTGGTGGCGCGGCTGCTCAGCGCCGACGCGCGCCACCGCGGCAGCGCCGCCGACCTGCTCGCCGACCTCGCCGACCCCGCCGACCCCGCCGACCCCGCCGACCCTGCCGACCGCGCCGACCTCGATGACCTCGATGACCTCGACGACCTCGACGCGCACGGGGACCAGCAGCAGCACTACGAGTTCAGGCTCGCCGTGAGTATAACATCGCTTCTCACTTCGTGCGGTCGCTCTCGATTTATTGTAGAACTAAATAAAATATAAAGGAGTTTGTCTTGTTCTGTATCGTATCGCAGGTCCCGTTCCCATAAATAACGTTTTATTCGTATGTATCCCTCGGTGGTCTTTAAGCCATACATCTGATCGCGTTAAATAATGGTAATTATAAAAATAACGCCCCGTCCGATCGACCTCGTTTTCATAAACTGACGATGTACCAAATATCCTCCTTTGACTCCCGTCCGAGTTCCCTAGTTCATTATTGTAATGTAGAGTAATTATTCTTAATTATTCATTACCAGAGAGGGCGCGTATGCGTAACGTTGTTTACAATCTTGTCTTACAAAGAAACATATTTTTTATTAGTCTTTCGTTGGAAAAACTAAGTAAAAGTGTTATGTTTGTTCCACACATCGAGTACTACTGTTAACATCATTGGTACTATATTGAACTGTGAAGAAACTAATATCAAGTGAATGTTACATACTGGGCGAAATCATGCTCAATTAATCAGTTTTTCATTGGTTCCGACGTTGTGAAAGTGAACTTTAATACTACTGTGAAAAGCAATCAGTGTTAAAGGACTTACAGAAGACTTAAACTATTGGAATAACAAATTAGCAACCTTGGTAATATCCGTGAACGACCGTCTTTTTTTTTACTAAATCACCCTCCACAAACTCAATACATGAACTAAAAGATCGCTGTATTGTGTTCCGGTTTTTGATCACTTCTGTCAGAGAGTATCTGGCGCAACGGTTAATCCGTTGCCTTTAATCGAACTAGCTAAGGTCGATCCCCGTTAGCAGCGTTCTTTTTGTTTTAAAACTATTGTATTTTTTCTCCTTATTTGTACCTTTTTCTGTTTTAAAACAATATTTTTTTCTTTTTGAACCTTTGATATTATTTTTATCACAATAAGAAAATCTAACACTATCATAAAAATAAAAATGCGTCGAACACCACCACCTGTAACTGCTAATACACTCAGCGCCTCAGAGCCAAATATTAAAGAAATCTCAGAGTTAGATGCTGGTTCACTATATGATCCTGATTATACACACCTACGACAACTTAAACGTCCGAGAACTGATGGATCGCAAGGCAACCATAACTTTGAGGAATCTATCATGGCAATGTTAAGCAACTGGAAAAAAGATCAGGATCATGTTTTATCGAAATTAACTGCAGACATCGCGGAGGTTAAATTACAGAATATCAATATACAAAAGTCCAATCAGGGGATTGGTGAAGCTATTGAATTTTTATCCAAGCGATATGATGAAATCGAGTCAAAATTATCCGAATACGAGCAGCATAGGAAGGAGGATCGCGCGGTGATTAAGAGTTTGGAGAAGCAATGCAATAACCTTCAGTCTAAAGTGGACAATATTCAGAGTGAACTTGATTCTAGGGAACAATGGTCCAGATCAAAAAACGTTGAAATTAAAGGCATCCCACAAACCAAAGATGAAAATCTCATGGACATAATATGTAATATGGGAACTAAAATTGGTTATTCTCTATTAAAAACGAATCTTGATTTCGTAACACGAGTGCAAACTAGAGGACCGAATCAACCCAAACCCATTATAGCGTGTTTTACTCATAAGTACATTAAAGAAGATTTCATGGCCGCAGCGCGGTCTGCCTCAAAATCATCACCACTTGTACCATCAGTCCTGGGGTATCAGGGCAACCATAGAATTTATATTAACGATCACCTTACTAGCTCCAACAAAATTCTATTGTCAGCGACTAAGAAAATTGCCAAGGAACGGGGGTTTCAATTTGTTTGGATCAAGAATTGCAAGATCCATGTCCGCAAGAATACTACCTCTCCGATATTATTCATCCAAACAGAAAAGGATTTATCAAAAATTATGTAACTTATTTATTGGATTATGTGTTATACTACCTAGTATTTAATAGTGTTTTATTTTTGTTTATTCTTAACTATTTCACGCTCTTTTGCACTGTTTTGAAACTGGTTCTATTATTGTACCTTAAATGCACTACCACGAGTTTGAGTATACTCACTAAACTGACTCATGTCGTTATAATTTACCTTTGTGAGTGCCACAATTTTGTTAAGGAATCTGAATCACGACACAATACACCAATTGATTTAAACAAATTGTTGCTATATTTCGACGTTTTCTGGCTTTCTTGTTGTATTCACCTGGTTTTGTCTGTTAACCGTAATAAACCTAAAACTACACTAAGTTTATCGCTTTATAATTTAAATCCAATGGTTTTATCTAACTGTACTTATTACAAAAATGGCTTCCCTTAACATGTATTACCAGAACGTGCGTGGGTTACGCACAAAAACTGATACCTTATACAGAATGGTCAGCCTCAACGATTATGACGTCATTTCACTATCAGAAACATGGTTGGTAGACAGTATTTGTGATTCTGAACTTTTTGATGAGCGTTACTTGGTCTGGCGACGTGATCGTGAGTACTCCCGTACTAAACAGAGTTTAGGTGGAGGGGTCATGTTTGCTGTTAAGCGGGATCTTGCTGTCATTCATAGAAGTGATTGGTCTAGTACGGCGGAGGACATATGGATAACAATATCAGTACATAATAAAAAACCGCCAATATCCTACAATATCCACGTTTGTACCGTATATCTCATCAATGAAGGAGGCGGCAACAGTTACAAAATTCAATTAGAAGCTTTTCTGAATAAATTATCAGAACTGGTTCTACAACATCCAATTGATAAATTCATTGTTTTGGGAGACTTCAATTTGCGTGACTATATTAACTGGACGACACAGGAGAACGGTGAACTTACACCTGAATTGGTTACCAGCAAAGACTTTGTGGTAAACTTCATAGATACGCTCAACGTATGTAATCTTAGCCAATATAACAACATAAGCAATTATTTCCATCGAACTCTTGATTTAGTACTCTCAAATGACACTGTCATTGTTCACGAGTGTGACTCTCCTCTTCTTAAGGAAGACCTGCACCACAAAGCTATTTCTATTAGTGCTGACTTTGTTGAAATTCACACATTACCACAAGAACGCCGAATATCATACAAATTTAATTCGGCTGATTATGCAATAATATCATCTGAACTCTCTAATACGGACTGGAACGGCTGTTTGAATGGAGTACCACTAGATAACGCAATTACTAATTTCTATAATCGACTTTATGAACTTCGTGATAAACACGTTCCTAAAAAAACCATTACTTCTAAATCTTACCCACCATGGTACAATAGTGCTTTGATTAAAATTTTAAGAGAGAAGGATAAATGCCATCGGAAGTATCGCACTTACGGTAATCTATCAGACTACAACTCTTTCTCATTACTGCGCCGCCGTGCCATTCATATTGAAAAGGAATGCTTTGATCATTATATATCAACAATTGAACAATTTATCACTGAGGATCCCAAGATTTTCTGGACTTACGTAAAAAACAAGAAAAAATCAGGCGCATACCCGAATCGTATGTATTACAACGAGGAAGTGGCTAGCACTGGTCAGAGTATTTGTAATTTATTTGGTTCATTCTTTCTATCGACATTTAATGACTCTGTTGCCACGAAATCAGACAATTTAACGCCTAAATTCTCGAAATATACTGGTGTTAACATCGCCTCTTGCACGGTGGAACCCAAAATACTCCTAAAGCTATTGAAGGCATTAGATCTGACGAAATCGAGTGGCCCTGACCTCATACCACCAATTTTTATAACACGCTGTGCTGAAAGTCTTTTGGGACCATTGTGTATTTTGTTTAGGCGTTCAATGAATGAGGGCCACGTTCCTGCAATTTGGAAATCAGCATTTATTACGCCGATTTTTAAGCAAGGAGACAAGGCATGCGTAGAAAACTATAGACCTATCTCCAAGCTTTGTCTCTTTGCTAAGGTTTTGGAGCGACTGATCTACGATCAAGTCTATGGTGCACTCAAATGTTCTTTCAGTGAGGAGCAGCATGGTTTTCTGAAGGGTCGATCAACGGTATCGAATCTGGCACTCGCGAATAACTTTATTACCGCCGGTATGGATGATCGAGCTCAGGTAGATGTCATCTACACTGACTACAGAAAGTGTTTTGATAGAATCGATCATACCGTGCTTTTACACAAACTGTCAATGGCGGGGATTCATGGTGACTTATTCCGATGGTTCTCCTCGTATATAGAAAACCGCAGTCAAGCTGTGGTGTTAAACGGTTATACATCAAATTGGACCTATATACCATCTGGGGTACCACAGGGTTCTCTACTCGGACCCTTACTGTTTGCGATATTTGTGAATGACATTGCTGAGTGTTTTCACAACTCCAAAATAATTTTATTCGCGGATGATATGAAAATATTAAAGATTATACGCAACGACTTGGATGCTAGAGATCTTCAGGCTGATTTATGTAGATTCGAAGGTTACTGCATAAAAAACAAACTAGATCTCAATGTTGCGAAATGTTTCTATATGTCCTTCACCCGCTGTTATAACATTATAAATTTCACATATACATTAAAAAATCATAAATTGTCAAAAGTTTACGAAATTAAAGATCTTGGCGTAATACATGACTCGAAATTATTATTTGACAAACATATAGACTATATAGTTAAAAAAGCTTCTCGAGCGCTGGGGTTTATTATTCGCAGTTCCGCTAACTTCCGAAACATTAAAACGCTTAAAATCTTATACTCCACTTATGTACGAAGCCACCTTGAATATGCATCTCAAATTTGGAATCCTCAATATCAAACCTATATAACTCGGATTGAGGGTATTCAGAAAAGATTTCTTAGGTTCCTAGATTTTAAATCTCAACAGTATTCTATTGACTACAACCATAGATGCAAAAAGTATCATTTTCTACCGTTGGAGACAAGAAGAATGATTAGTGATGTCTGTTACCTGTCTAATGTCGCTTGCGGAAGGGTTGACTGTTCTGAATTACTATCTCTATTAAACTTTAAAACTAACCAGCTTCGATTAAGACAAAGACCACTTCTATGTCCTTTGACAGCCAGAACACGTTACAGAACGAATACTTTCGTGATACGAGCATGCCATACATTTAATAGACTACCTTATAATGTCGACCTGTTTTGTTCTAGCACCACATATGTTAAAAAAGTGTTGAGTCTCAGTTTCTTTGATAATAACAACGATTAATAGATGTGTCGTTTTTATTGTAGGAATGTTAAATATTTACATTTTTTTTTTAAGTTGTCCTCTAGGTTTTTAACTTCTAATTTATAACCTATTTGTGGAGATTTGTAATTAGCATCGGAATAATTTACTTTGTGACATAATGTCGATATTTGTCTGTAAATCTTCCTAAAAATAAATAAATAAATAAATAAATAAATAAATACAAAATGCTTAAAAAATCCACTCGGTCCCTGTATAAAGAATAATTTTCAGTATGGCATTATGAATGCAAAATTAGTAAAAATATAATGTAAAAAAGATGATATTTAATGGTATTGAATAAATTTATTTTATCTAATAAAAAAATTACATGACGTATTTTATTTATTACAAATTTAAAACAACATAAAGGACACCGAAATACAGAATTGTCGAATGTCGCGATCTATTCGGACGTTTGTGTCAGTCGGTCGATGTGTTTGTTGCATTTGTATCATATTGCTGTTTAAATGAACTTTTGTAATGTGACGTATCGACATAGTACCTGATCTTGGAAAACACAGATTGGCGTTTGTGGTGGCTGCTTAGTTGTTAAAAATAAATAGAAAATATCTTTTTAATGCCACCAACACGTAAACATAGTAATCTATATCGTGCAAATTCACTTCTTAAATGCAACCTTGAATGCATTTCTATATAAATAATAAATGGAGTATTTATAACAGTAATAAAATATACAAGGGCTCTTTATTAATTTTTTTTTTTCGAATATACCAAAAATGTGTTGCCGCAGGTCCCCATACCAAAAAAAGCATTCTCCTTTTCATGTTATGCGATGTGGTGCCGTCCCACTTTTCAATTAAAAATATAATTTCTCCTATTTGCAACTTATATTGAGAGATAAAATAAACCGAACGAACACTTTCTACACGTGAACTATCCAGAACGACTAATAAATATTCTATCCTATAGAGGACGCTACATGATATGTTCGTTTTACAGGACATGACCAAGGCCGACCTGTACAAGCGCCGCTCCAAGAACAAGCAGCGCAAGTCGAGCGGCTCCGAGCCGGCCCCGGCCCGCGCCGGACGGTCCGACGACGAGGCCGGCGCCGAGGAGGTCTCCCTCGTGGAGACCATCAACAACCTCAAGAACAGGATGCACAACAGCTCCATAGACAAGGACGTGGAGCTCATCAAGGCCAACGGCCGGGACTCGCCCGCGCCCGACCCGGCCTCGCCCGAGGAGGAGGACATCCCGCCCGTCGGGCCGGTCGAGAAGACCTACGCGAAGGCCCGCTCCAAACTGGACGACTACATCTACATAGAGAGCCGCCGAGGCCTGGACGAGACTGAGGTCGCCTTCCCGCGAGGCGGTCGCGCCAAGAGAGCTAAGGTGTCGCGGTCGCCCGTCCCGAGGAAACGTAGAAAAATAGAAGCGAACGGGGACCGGCAGTCGCGCAGCGGAGACGACGGAGTCGCCGACGCGCCCACCGAGAGGCGCGCCTTGAGGAGCGGCAGCGAGAGGGAGCGAGACGAGAAGCGGCCCGCCAACGAATCGATAGAGAACGACAAAGCGGCGGTCGCCAGGAACACGCGCAAGAGGAAGAGGGAGGACGCCGCCAAGCCCGTGCTGAGGGAGAAGGGGCAGAACGGGCACCAGGCGGCCGCCGGGGCGCACGCGCCCCGCGCGCCCCACGCGACCCTCGCCACTAGGAAGATAACGCGGGCGAAAAAGACCAAATCCTCTCTGGCTCCGTTGCAGTTGGACATAGACCGAAACGTCCGGATGACCAGATCGAGGACGAGGAGATTAGAAATAAGCCTGTCCCCTTCGCAAGTGAAGAGCGTCGTGCCGGCGTTCTCTTTCGAATCCGATCGCCGCATGAACTCCATAGAGAGCGATCGCTCGGCGAAATCGAACAATACCAGAGCGAAGGCTCGCAACGCTCGAGCGCTAAAGAACGCTAGCGGAGCGAAGAAGCCGCCCGTTCGAGCGACGCGCGCGCGCGCCGGTAGGAGGTGAAGACGTTCCTGCGTCGATGTGAACGATCGAAGCGCCATCTAGCGGCTCACCGTAGACAAATTATCATTATGGACTTTAAGTTGACTAGTGTCGCGAAGAGGGAGGCGTGTTTTCATCGTTATGTATTATATATGTTTAATGTGAATACGAAGAGATCTAATGTTGTTCCGAGTGTTCGCCGACGACCGTACGAACGGGGCCGGCTCGCTCGTCGAGTTCCGTCGATCTCGATCCGAACTCGTTCACCGGGTTCACGTTTGTCTCGATGATTCGTGATATTATTACCTATCAGATTTTGTAATCACAAAACTAGATAAATCGATTCGTGAACACTGAGTATATGAACGGGTACCGACCCCCATAATAATAATAATGCCGTCAGCTCCTCCGATAGACTGTTACCTAGTATATAATATTCCAATATGGCATCGGCTGCGTTTACAAACCTCAAATTCCAAATAGCGAGACGATATAGTGATGCAATAATGGACGCTTGCTCATTACGCCTAGAATAGAGAAATGATAAAGAAGAATACTATTTATTCAAAAGAGTAAATTATATTTGTGTAAGTAACTGCGAGTCTAGTACTAGTTGACGACTAACTGGTAGATTTAATATTATCATTATTGTATTTTTATTTTCTTTTTAATCCTTTTATTTAATGTTACTATTAATTTTTAAGACACTTTTCCCATTATTATTAAAATTACCATTAGATTTAATACTTTGAATGTTCTTTATTATGTATTTTAAATAGATTAAAATCCGGTTAATTAATCAAATTCGGCCTCGATTAAAGCAGTCTGTGTTTTTCGGTTGCCGATTTCTTTCGGTCGGACAAAATTGGTTGCTTTTCTGATTGAAAGGAAATTAATTAATTTTTTCACGATTATGTCTACCAAATGTTTAATTAACGGATGCCTTAAAATATTATAAACAATTATTATCTGAAATAATAAAAAAACAATGATGTTTCCCAACTAGAAACGTGACACCAATGTTTCTAGGTGGCAAACCGCTGTCCATATCTTATGCAGATCTCTATCCTCATATATAAATGAATTTAGGTTGTTTGTGTGTGTGTATATTTGTTTGAAGTCTAGATTAGTAGGTTAAATTTGTAAAAATTGTTTTTTTATTATTATTAAATATAATGCGACGCGTTGTTTCCGCGATTATTTCAACTTCCACATTTAAAATATTGCGAAATATATAAAAAAAAAAAAATTAAATAATCTGTGAAAAATGTCCAAAAAAGTTTTTCTATGTACGGTCAAGTGCCAAAGCATGCTTAAATTTTAATTGTAAAATAAATCTCGGCAATGTCATTACTTTTTAATATATTGATGATTTCTCTCTAACACTTTCTTTCGCTATAATCGCTTTTACCAAAAAAGATACAGGTTTGTTTCTCTTTATAATTATCCTTGTGTAAATAAAAAAAAATAGCATTTAGTACAAAATCGGTGGAAGTAGTAATTATTTATTATTTCAAAGTCTCACATTATGAAAGTCTCAGTTCTTTTTGTTGTCAATGTTGATCTGTAACTTCACGGGACAGTCAGGCACATAGACATCTTTACACGATATGTTTTGGAAAACGCATATTTACTATATGTATTGGTTTTTTTAATGATTTTTTGCATCGACAATGTTATAATCGAACAATCTACCGTTCGATGGTTTAATGTTGTGGCACATCTCAAAAGAAAGCACTTTTTATTGATTGTCATTTTCGTTGTATCAAAGTGAATCTGCACAGTAAATGAATTTGTAATTTACATTAAAATTATTTTATGTATAGAATAATAGAGATTAATGTTCATATAAAATTCATTGTTTAAAGTGTTTGTTAAAAGATTGTTCTAAATTAGTGTATAATTACCAGTTTTTTCCATAAGCCGGATTCACTTCTAGCCGATGCCGCGTGTCGCCACGCGTGCGTTTGCGGATCTGTTTCTCGTAATGTAATATGTATGGGACTGATTACATGAGCCCGTCCCACCTGTTCTGGTGATGCATGAAACCTTTATGCGTGTTATCTGCGCACGCGCCGCGGGCTAGATAGCATTCAAATTCGACAAATATTCTGATAAAAGTTACAAGTTAGTTTTCCTATAAAAAATTGTTATCGATTCAATGGATACGCTTATTTATAATATAGTTACACAAATTGATTGTGTTACGACTTGTATTATATGAAAATGTTGTACTGAACATGTGTTCGGTGTACGTGTCACACTGTACGCTCATCGACAAGTTTTGGTTTTTTGTTAATCAAATACGGCTCTACTCTGTTGTGATTCGGTTAACTCGTGTTATATTAATTTAATAAATAATGAAATAATCGAATTCGCAAAATCTAATATATACCATGATCGTATTTTACGTATTTCCATAATTCGATGATATTTTAAATCTCACTATTTATAATACCAACACAATATGAGATCTAAGAATGTATCTTATGTTACATTACAAAAGAGAGACGAGAGTGGGTAACTTTTTTCCGACTGTTTTCGCATGAAGGGTGGTGTTGTTTATTATGTAATAGGTGGTGTTGTACATGTGTCTGGGGTAATGTGTCGGTAAACGGTGGTGTCTCATGTGCCCGAGCGGTCCCTCTACGAAAGCGGGGGATTTTGAATGCCCCGCTGCTCTGTGCGGTAGCCTTCACGTGAAAACGTATGTAAAAGTGCACTTAACATGGATTGTACCAAAAGAATATATAATTTTATAATAAAGTGTTAGAAGTTTGTGTCGGCGTCAGACAAATTTTGTAAGATGTTACGATGGGGCGCCGACCGAAGATATTTGATTGTAATAAATATACCATTTTAACATTGACGTTTGTTTCATTGACGGACACGTGCACGTGTTGCACGCAACTACTGATCAGTGATCACTGATGACGAGTCCCCATTTACTATTTTTTCAATTTTGAACCACCTCATTTAGTTCCTCGCTTATTGAGGCCTCGAAAATGAGATGTAAATACAGATAATATGCCTCAATCAACAGAATAGTGAGTTTCTTAGAATGAAAAGTTGAGTCGATCATTATATCAACATATTAACTATTGATTGAGGGAGTGGGTCGGTTCGGTTTTGTGAGTTTAATTCAGCATTCCCTCGTAATTAAAAATAATAGTAAAAAAATCCTAATGAGTGAAAAAAGGAATTAATAACCAAAATTCATTCTGCGTATATTTTTACAATAACTTTTTTACAACAATATTTTATAATTATAGCTTTCAACATTCGATCACGTATCACAAATGTTTCTCTCGGCTCGGCCGGTGAGTAGTGGCCTTACGCTTCGTTGCATACTTAATCTTTGCGTTTATTTCATTCTCTTTACCTCACCTCAAAAGCGGGGTACCTCGTGACTATCTCATGAGGTAAAACGAAGCCATGAAACTTAATGCAGTTTTGGAAATTTTGCAGAGTGAATAATTTTTTGTTAGTTTTACTTTGTTTCTTGGAAAAAAGCAATTCTTTCTTCATAATTTTTACTGCGCACCGCCAAGGAGTGGAACTCCCTGCCTTCGTCTATACTCCCCTAGTGCATATAGCCCAGATCTATTTAAAGCAAGAATAATAAGGTTCCTTTTGAGTAAGCTTGTCCCACTGTAGATCTCATCTATGTCCTTGGAATGAGCCATTTGTAAATAAATAAAAAAAGCCTTATAAATTACTATTTAACTATTATATGTGGTAAATTATACTATTCTCATAAATTACTATGTTAATAGTGTTTTAACATACGAAATGTAATGTTAATTCGGAGTAGCTCGGTAGCGTAGCGGATAGGCGCCGTAGTCCACGATCGTTGTTATTCAGCGATTTTCGCAAGGCTCGGTCACAAGATGGCTGGATAATAAAATATTATCTCGAGATACTTCGTGTTATAGCTAGCTGCATTTGCAGTCGCTTTATACCTTCCCTCCAATCCGTATTGGACTCGTGTGGTCATAGCCCATCCTCCTTAATCATCTATAAGGAAGGCCTGAGCCCCCCTGCAGTGGGGACGTAAAAGGGCTGATAATTATGAATAACATTCATTTAATGGAATTGTAATCAAAGATATTTTAAATACTAGGATTTCTCAAAGGTACCATAATGCAATGTCTCCCTTACGTATCGATGATTAGAAATTAATAATAATATTGGACTTCAGATAGATAATTATGACAATGGCAAAATGCAAACTAGTTGAGATTCTATTGACATATAAAAAAACATTAGTTTATTTTTTGTTTAGTTTGTTGTTAAAGTCAATTCTTGTTTATATAACTTAGGTAGGTATATTCCAAATTTTTCACAAAACTTTATTTTTTATCAGCTAGCTATAAATGGTTAAAGGAAGAGGGATTTCCAAAAAAATACAACATAATCATTTAAAGTATGTATACCCAATTTGTGGTTCAAGACTCATATTTTCATGTACACATGTACTTTTGCATTTATTTGTTTATTGTGCTTACGTAAACTCATTATGCTTCTTTACAACCAATTAGCGCAGTCGTCCAGCAAGACACATAAAATTTGATTGGATTAGCCTCGTCTATGATTACGACATTTTTATGAGAATTAATAAAACACGAAATGTAAAATAGTTACCTCTATTATATTAGGGTGAAACCGGTCTCCAAGCAACACTCGTATTTTAGATGACACCGCACTACAAGATTACAATGAATTTTAGAACAGAATTACAATAAATGTATGAATATTGCACAAATTGATTCAAGTTCCGCGATTCTATCGCCAATGCTATTAAGAAAAAATTATCGTCATCGTTCTCATATTTCCAAGAATCAACACAGCAATCATCAGAGATGTGACTTATCTTAGATACAAGTATTTGAAATACAGATACAAGATACAAAATACGTATTTTCATCTTGTATCTAAAATACTTTTTTTAGGAAGTATTTTGTATCTTGTATTTAAATACTTTTGTTTAGTATCTTAGTATCTTTTAAATACTTTTTCTGATAAAATACTTTATTAAAAGATTGTTTCTCACATTTTATAAATATCTTTGCCTAAAACATACATATCTAGGGGAGCGGGGGGTATTGGGAGCGGTTGGGTAATGAGAGCGCTACTGGTAGAACGGAACCTATTCGCTTTGGCATGATCGTAAGTACTCGGCCGCTTCCGTCAAACATCGACAAACTTCGCCTGACGCGCACGAGCCGGCAGTTCAATTAGTTGAGTCACGAGGGACGGTTGTGTGTTTTTCGCTCTAAGCTTACAAGAAAACAGCAGATTGTCAGCGCCAAGTTAAGCATTTAGTTATATTCTTTTTTTAATGGGTTCGTCCATAACAGATCCATCACTTCATATTCTAACAATTCCAATTGGTTAAATTGAGTTTGAAAATAAAAGTACGTATTTAGATTACTTTTTTCCAAAATGGAGGTCAACGGGTAATGGTAGCCTAGGATGGCTCTCACTACCCGACATAGCTTCCATTACCCCATTTCCAAAATTATATATTGATGTCGTTTCAGTCAAATCAAATCAAATCAAATCAAAATTTGTTGATTCAATTTAGGCTTTTACAGAGCACTTGTGAAAGTCGAAAACTACGCCATCGGTTCGCAAAACTACGGCGGGAGACCTTGTACTGAGAAGAACCGGCAAGAAACTCAGCAAGGGCTATTTTTTTCTCCCTGTTTTATTTCACACAGAGAAGTCTTATTGAAAAGTGACTTCATTAGAATATGAAGTCACTTTCCATTACAATATTAGAAAGTAAATACAACAAAGTTAAAATATCTAACACCATGCCTTTTTGTCATTTAGATATTCCTTAACGGTATAATACCCTTTACTTTGTAGACAACTTTTTATATGACTTTTAAAATGATTTATTGGCAAATCTAATACATCACTGGGGATCTTGTTAAAGTATTGTATACCTTGACCCATGAAAGAACCTAATACCTTCTGTAACCTGTAAGAAGGCACTACTAGCTTGTTTTTATTTCTAGTATTAAGTTTGTGTACATCACTATGTTTGGTATACACATTAATATTGTTCCGGACAAAAAGTATACAACTATATATAAATTGAGATGCAACCGTCAATATTCCAATTTCTTTAAATTTCTCTCTAAGAGATATTCGCGAACCCAACTGATAGATAGATCTTATTGCCCTTTTTTGTAAAACAAATATAGACTGAATATCGGCTGCCGTTC